GCATTCAGAGGACATGAATTGTAAGTAATTTCTTAACGTCCTTCTCAAATCTTTGTGAATGATAGCCATTTTATAAATTAAATTTTTCAGGTGTTTAAAGGGAAAAAAATTGGACAGGCTAATCGGTAGATTAGCATAGCAATTGTTACACATTTCGTCTACACTACTGGGTTCTATAATTAAGTCTGAAACCAAGAACTCTTTTGTGTATGCTCAGGTTTAATTTTAAACAAGCAAAAAATAAAAACAAACCCAAACACCATGTGTATAAATAAAATCTAGCTACAAATAACACAATGATGATGCTATTTCCTGATGGGTCCCTCCAAAAGAGACCTCCAATAAAAGACTGGAGGCATAAAGGGGTATGGGATGAAAATAAAATAAAAGCTTATTGCACAATACCCCCATAGAGTGTCTGTTTTCATGGCAGTTGGCAAGGAACTGCAATGACATTATTTGCAAACATGTCCATCTCTAGCATCCATGATCTCTGCTATATGTCTCTATGGTCCACTGGGAGCATCAGCATATCCGGAAAAAGAATCTGTCTGTTCCTGTCTCGATTCATGGAAAGTAAAATGAAGAACCAAAACTTCGGTGCTCTTAGGAGTTTGTGTTTATTAAATTTCCATTGCCATTCAGAACACTACAAACTTGAGGTTTGAACAAGGAAAGAAAACAGTCATCTATGGCTTACATTGGCCGCTTTTCTTCAGTTTTGATTTCCTGATTTATTTCTAGATACTAGCTTAGACAACAGGATATTTATTTCCCATGAAAAAGAAAAGAATATTAAATAAATTCTAAATGGAAAAGACTACTATTTGCAGTCTTGTTACTTTTCTTTTTTAGAAAGATAATAAAAAGAATATTTTAAGCACTCTGCTATTTACAAAGCAAAACTGATTGAACTCAGGCTGGAGAGTTGGCTCGGTGGTTGAGAGCACTGGCTGTTCTTCCAGAGAACAGGTTCAATTCCCAGCATGCACATGGCAGCTCACAACTGTCTGTAACTCCAAATCCGAGACAGATACGTGCAAGCAAAACACCCATACACACACAACAAACATAAAACAAACTAAGAGTAAAATCAAAAAAGGTCAAACTCAATGTTTCTGCATCGCTTGCAAAAACAGTAAGGATGCTTTGCGACCTCCCAATTTTTTGCGAATCTTCAGGATAAAAATGTTCTCATATCCTGTTGCACTGTGGCCTCAAAAAGTGGATTGGAAAAGAGTGAGTTATCAGCCCTCTAAAAAGTTGTCCCTGTTTTGAACCTCATGAAAGAGGAGGCAGAAAAGGTGTAAGGGCCTGAAGGAATGGAGGACACAGGGAGAACGAGACCCTCAAATCAACAGAGCAAAGCTCATACGAACTCCCAGAGACGGCAGCAGATATACAGGCTTACAGGGTCTGTACTAGGTCCTCTGCATATGTAGTACAGCATTGAGGTTAGTATTTCTATGGAATTCCTCAGTGTATGAACAAATGGGTCTCTGATTCTTGTGCCTTTGGGGGGAGGAGGCTCTTTTCCTTCTGTTCGGCTGCCTTGTCCAACTTCAGTGTGATAGGTTTTGTTTTATCTTATTATATTTTATTTTGTTATGTTAAGTTGTTGTCTCTCAGAAGCCTGTCTTTTCTAATGAGAGACCAAAAGGCAGTGGACCTGGATGGGAAGGGAAGGGGGAAGGAACTGGAAGGAGCAGAGGGAGAGGAAACTGTAATCAGGATACACTGTATAAAAAAAAAAAATCTATTTTTAATGGGGGGGGGGTTGTCCCTGTCACAAATAATGGGACTGATGTGCCCTCGTTCACCCAATGCCCGTAGTCTACATAACCCTCCCACACTGGTTTAAATGCCTTTGCGTCAGCAGTGGAACCTTGTAGAAATTGGGGTTTTATAAGATACCTGATGAATAACACCACATACATCTCAGAGCCAACATCCTGCAATGTGTAAACTTGTAGCTGCTTGAACTCCTTAAGAGAATACAGCTGTGACTCACGGGCCTCTCAAAGACTGTTAGTAGGAGCAGCTTGCAAACTGCACGCTTGCAGCAACCCAAATAACTTCTACATGAATATTGAAGTTCAATTTCAAATACACCATAACAGGTTAACTCGGCTTCCCCCTACCTCACCTGACTTTAAAGGACCAAGCTTTATGAGAGGTGAGTGTGACGTGTTTTTTTCCCCCCACTGACTGAGTCCCAAAGAAAACGAAAGACTGGAGAAGCAAATGAAATTTAAAGAGCTCATTTTCATGGGCCTTCATTTTGAGTGAGTGTTGGGCTATTTTTATCCTTTCTTTCTTATTTTTTTTAAGCAGCAACAACGCCATGCTGCCTGTATATGCAAGCATTTGTGACGAGGCACGCGCAGGGACCCACGGCACAGCTGTCCAATTTACATTCACAAATGCAGGTGTTGCTCAGACACAAAGCAGGGGTCGGCTGAATACCGGTCCTAATTACCTACCTTGTCTATGAGAGTTTTCCTTTGTAAAGTTATGCATGCAATTTGGGTTCAACTTGGAAGCCATTTTTAGATCCCAGCATGCTATCCAGCAAGAAATGGGCTGTCATTATAAAGCATAATTTACAGCGTAGTTAATTTTACATTTTTAAAAATTTTACATTAATTTTACATTTAAATGTCTACTCTACACCTAAGACAAAATTCTGTATTCTAATCTGTATATTCACTATTTACTGTTTTCCATCTCCTTCTCGGTATTTAGAAACACTGTTGTTATGTAGAAATGGGAAGGATTTCTTCCTCTTTCTAAGATGATGTCACAATCCTGACGATGAAGACTAAGGACTTTATTAGATGATACAAGAAGAGATATAGCTATCTATCTGCCACCGTCTGCAGTGGGGAGCACACTGAGGCTTATAACAGCAGTTCTTAGAGATGGCCGGATGCAGGGCTGGGATCTAATATGAGCCATTAGGAAACCTAATCCCTAAATGAAATGACCACAAAATCCTACCAGCTAACAGCAGTGCAGCAGCTGGACATGTTTATAGTAATACAATAGGATACTGTTTCAGAGGTAACACTCGGGGACAAAAGAACCCAGCAGGTAAGGCAGCACGCTTATTTCTCTGTTTGGAAAAGCTGAACAGGCAGAGGTTTGGGATATACAAACAGGAAAGAAGACAGGTAATGTGTGCACTAAGGGGCCAGAGAGACCAGCAGGCAAAGGCACTGACCAAGTCAAACCACAGCAAGCTGCTGGGCACCCATCCCAGTAGCTTCTCATAGCAGGCCTCCCTTCAGCAATGATTTTGCCTTCTATAAATTCCCAATACTAAATCTTACCCTGGTTCCCATTATTCATCTTTCAAATATGTATGCTATGGAAGCTTACATTCAGTTTGATCTTAAACTTTTATCATGATATTTTACGAGCATATATGTATACACCTATATGAATATGTATGTATATATACATATGTGTGTAAGCATATTTGTATACACACACACATATACTGTATAACATAGGACTCTAGACTGCTTTTCCAATGGCTTCAGATGCCTTTCTTCAAAGGCTTACTACAAAGTAGTGTAGCTTACTTTACAAAGTCTAACTGTGTCACCAGGGTTGTGACAAATGCATCTTGCTTGGCCTTATTCTCCAGAAGCAGTCCATCAAGATTCAGATCCTTAGTCCCTCAGAATTCTAGAATGACAAGAAGCCCTGTCCTATAGCCATATTCTGGGGAGGAATGCGAAATATTTTGTTGTGGTGAGTAGGGCTTTAAAGAAAAGAAATCACTGGGCACACTCCCGGGGTTAATCTAGTGCTCAGCATTCAGAAAGGGAGCCTGGGCTCCTGGAGCTCACTCTAATCCCCACCCCAGGGAAAGTGAACCCCACTCCTGACCATTCCCAAAGACATCTGACAATTTCCTTACTTGCCTCCTAGTTCTAATGAAGCTCATGAGCCTAATTCTTACAGACTGCTACGAACATTCCAACTGGCTGAACTCTGCAACCTAATTCTTCGGGCATTATGTTTCTTGGGCAGAATGGATGTGACTCAGAATGCAGGCGATTGCATGCTGCAGTGGTGCTTGCAGTGCAGTGAGCCGCACTTAGCATTCAAGATCGCAAAAGTTAGACTTTGAAAAGGCAGGTTCCTGCTGCAAGAACGGACAGGTTTTTATCTTGTATCACAGAAAGGGAAATGCAAGTGCTTAGCAAAATGTGTGCGGGTTTGTGAATTGCAGAAGTTTTACAGATCAATGAGAAATAATCAAGGCCTAGAAACTGACTTCGGTACTCGGTGGCCAAAGACTTTTCCAGTTCTTTAGGGTTGGGATGTGAGTGTGCAGATGTGTACATGTGCTTGTTAAGACATCATACAGTCTGTTTCTCATCAAGAGTGGCTGATATATTATAAAAGGCCATTTTCGGACCTAAACTGTCCTTTTAAACAAAGCCAAGTGGGAACTGTAACTACGGCTCTTCCTGTGTTTATACACCACACTCTCAGACATGAGCTGTTCATCTCTGGCCCTCTTGTCAAGCTCAATCAACTTTAACACAGTGTGTCAAGGGAGGTTTGACAGTTTTTGTCTTGACTAGACTCTGTGAACCAGGTTTTGGAAAAGCAGCAGCTATATCCCCACTGTGTGGGTATACTAAAGCCTCTACAGCTAGCGTCTCACTCTCCTGAGAAACTTCTGTCATTTTTTTCTCTGGTGGGCTCTGGACTGTGCCCTCTTACTAAGCCACCTCTGGTTAGGACAGTGGCTGGGATTTCAGTGTCTTCCTAGGATTCCACTCACCCTCTCAGAACTCAAACACCAAGCCACAAGAAACTGATAGACAAGTTGGGGTTTCTTATTACAAAAAGTTAAGCATGACAGGAAGAAACAGACAAAACAAAATCAAAACACGCAAAGGGGAGGGCCACAGTGTGTCCAGCTAGGGCTAGGAGGCGCATGCGCACGAGGTGGCCAGCGGCCTCACTAAGATGCTTACCTTGTTTCTTTTGAAGTAGGCTCTCCGGCAGGCGGCAAAGCACTTCTCGCTGCAGAAGCTTTTCACCTCACTTCCCATACTCAGGGAATAGCGCTTGATTCCCACTTTCTGGCACCAGGCACACATTATTTGTACATTTGACACATCATCTTCTATAATAAAAGTATAAGAAAAACGTTCATATCAGAAGCAAACATCCGTTCGTATTTAGACACACCCTGACCCTGACAGAGCTCCCAGGGTCGACTTGCAATTTCCGAACCTCACCATTTTCTGATAGAACAGTATGGCCAGTCTTATGGGGTGGAGCGGTAGGTACATTTGTTTGTTTCTCTCCTCAGGGGTATGTGGATGCTGATGTTTCCACAAGGCATTTTACTTAGAAACCAGAGCAACGAGACTACAAAGCTGCAAGAGTTCCAGGACTTCTTAGCCTCCTCTCAAAATGCCTAGTCAATAGCCACAGTGAAAAACAAAGAGGCGTGTAAAATAAACAGCCCGTTTATTCAAAGGGCCTGCGGAAAGTCTTCAACACGGGCACTGGGTGGGGCGCTCTGTGCCATGGGAACCTGAGTGTGCTACGCAATGCCCTCGTGTGAACGTTGACAGTCGGGGGCCAGCAGCCCTAGGCATGTTCTCATCACAGGTAAGTGAACTGTGCTGTTGTTTCCTATTGCAGAATGATCCCCAAGTCAGCTGTCTCATCAAAAAGGGAGAAGTTGTAAATGGCCAGATCCTGGCAATGGGCAGTGGGAAGACCTGGCTTCCTGCGCATTCTCCTACAGTGAGCCTTCAGGCACTGGGGACCTCAGGGAAACACCAGCCTGATTTAGCATTTGATGTGGTTTCTGGGCCTTTGAAGAAGGGATGGTAATGAGGGTATGAGAGCATTCTTAGCCAGACTGGAGTTGGGGTGTCCTCTCAGCTCCTGGACGACCCCTCAACCATGTCAACAGGTGCTCAGATGGGTTCTAGATGGTATGCCAATATTTTTAATATTTAAAACACTATATTGCATGTCCTTTATGTGAGAAGGAAAAACTTAGCCAGCACAAGCTACCATGACTGTCACGTCCATTATTGCTTAAGACAGATGGGCGGTTAAAGCGAGCAAAGAGAATGAATTAAATTAAATTAAATATACTGGGTAAAGCACAGTGCAGACAGGGAGAAACTACAGTAGGGTGGAGTCGGTGACACTCAAATGCCTGAAACTTGGGAATATCGGTCTCTTTTAGGGAAATAAAGATAATATTAGAAATAGTTTAAAATATTTTCTGGCTGCTTTTTAGGAGCTTTCACTATATTTTGAATAGAACACTTCATCCTTTCATTTGATTCTGTGTGTGTGTCTGTGTCTGTGTGCATGTCTGAGTGTCTGTGTGAATGTTTGAGTGTGTGTGCATGTCTGAGTGTCTGAGTATGTGTGCATGTCTGAGTGTGTGTGTGCATGTCTGAGTGTGTGTGTGCATGTCTGAGTGTGTGTGTGCATGTCTGAGTGTGTGTGTGCATGTCTGAGTGTCTGTGTGAATGTCTGAGTGTGTGTGCATGTCTGAGTGTCTGAGTATGTGTGCATGTCTGAGTGTGTGTGTGCATGTCTGAGTGTGTGTGTGCATGTCTGAGTGTGTGTGTGCATGTCTGAGTGTGTGTGTGCATGTCTGAGTGTGTGTGTGCATGTCTGAGTGTCTGTGTGCATGTCTGAGTGTGTGTGTGCATGTCTGAGTGTCTGTGTGCATGTCTGAGTGTCTGTGTGCATGTCTGAGTGTTAGTTTGCATGTTATATATATATGTGTGTGTGTCTGTGTGCATGTCTAAGCATGTGTGTGTATGTATGCATGTCTGAATGTGTCTGGGTGTGCATGTATGGGTGTCTTGTGTATTTGTGTGTCTGACTATGTATGTGTCTGTATGTATAGTATATGTGCATGTACGTGTATGTGTGTGTGTTGCATGTGTCTGTGGACATGTGTGTGCATGCGTGTGTCTGTAGGCATGTGTGTGTGTCTGTGGGCATGTGTGTGCATGCGTGTGTGTCTGTAGGCATGTGTGTGTGTCTGTGGGCATGTGTGTGTGTGTGTGTGTGTCTGTGGGCATGTGTGTCTGTCTGTCTGTCTGTCTTTGTGTGTGTCTGTGGGCATGTGTATGTGTGTGTGTCTGTGGGTGCGTGTGTGTGGGCGTGTGTAGCTCTAGTCGCCACTCTTCGCAGCAATCCTTCTTTACAGATCTGTTTTGTTCTAAGCCAGACTCATGATTCAGACATGAATGGGAATCACAAACTACCCAACAAGCTCTGGTGCAGCGTGTCTGATTTCTGAGTAAAATCCCCCAAAGACTAATTGCTAAGCAAGGCCTGATCCATGAGTTGTTGACATATTCATGGTTCACAGAGTCTGTCATGCAATCATTCCATTTCCAGGGGAAAGATCTGGTTTGAGGCACTGTGGCCATCAGCCTGCAAAATTAGAAACAAACTAATTTATAATGCGGTGACATGGCTTCTTCTCCCCAAGTGTCCACTCAGACCCACGTGCAGCACTTTGTCTACCACAAAAGAATAAACGTCGTCATTTTAATAATTTGTGCGATTTCTCAAATCACATTTCAGAATCTATGACTCATTATCAAACAAGACAGCATAAAAAGAGAATCTTTGATGTTAGCAAACACTTTTGATAACATAACAGCCTTTAAATAAAGTCAAAAATATAAATTCAAATGTAACATAATTACCGCATTGACAGATGTGTTCTGCCAATTATTTCTATTTCGCATGATTTCGATATGGATTCCTGTCTACACACAGATACTTCATGTTCTGTAGCAAGAGTTCTCTAGGTGAACGCATGTGAAGTGCATCCTTGGATTGGTAACCACTTTAAAATGATCGCCCATCACTACTACACTAACAAGCCCTAATAATTCCTATTGTCCCCATTGATACAACGCCTTAAAATCTTAGGCTCCTGAAAAAGAAGAAGACACCACACAGCTCTCATAAATGACCCAGGCAATGGTCTTGCTTCTGGTGAGATCTGTAAGGGAAAAAAAATGTCATGAAGGAGATCATTTGTTCTCACAGTTCAAGGAGGACCCGATTTCCCAAGGAGCCATTCCAAAACATTCATCTCCCCTCAGCATGTCTGGCTTGACAAAGGAAGCGTGAGTTTTAAAGTCCTGACTTTGTTGGCTGCGATGGACTGGAGCAGAGACTAGAAGGGCAAGGTAGAGCACTTAGGCCACCACAGGGCCTGGCCCTGGGGAGGACACACACATGTACAGAATCAAAGGGCATCTCAGGCCACCCGGTAGGCCCGCTTGTCATGTTCTAAAGAGTGGCAAGGACACCACTTCCTGACAACAGGACCTAGCAAATAAAAGCATTAAAAATTAAAACATACTGGGCTCACGCAATATTCTTACTAGAAAGCTCCAAAGTGGGAGGTAAGACAAAGGAATCGTGCAGTTTGGTTTTCGCGGTGAGAAGAGTTGTCGGATGGTAGCTGGCATCTGTCCTGTTAAATAAATCAGCGTTCCTGTCTGTTCTGCTTCCTACAGGCAAATACTCTGGGAAAGGCCCAGCAGACGTCTCCTGTCCTGTCATCCAACTTCTCAACAACGAACGACCCGAAGATGAGTCTGAGAAGTCGGTTATTCCAAAAGGTCACAGAAATATTTTCAGACACGACAGGTATTCCAGTCTTATAACAGCCAATTAATGCCACACTTCAGAAACTAAAAGAACTGTAATGGTTCGTCAGTCAGAACAGCTCAGATTCTATCACCAGACGCAGTGTCTTATAGAATGACTACCCCTAAAAAGTAAACCTTTCCTAAGAAATTGCAGCCAAAATGTGTTTCAATTAAATCTGTTTTTTTTTTTTTTAACCTTGAAGTCTGGTGTGCTTTTTATCGTCAATTTGACACAACCTAGAGTTGTGGGGAAGAGGAAACCTCAGTTGAGGATTTACCTAGATCAGACTGGCCCATGGGTATGTCTGCACAGAATTATCATGGCTATTAATCGATGTAGGAGGATCTAGCCCACTGTGGGCAGTACCTGTGTGTGAGCCAGTAAGCAGCTATCACCCATAGTTTCTGGCTGTCTTGAGCTCCCAGGCTGATGTACCTCAGTGACTGACTGTGACCTGTAAGTATAAACCAAACAAACTCTCTCCCAATTTGCTGCTGGTCCGAGAATTTCAGCACAGCAACAGAAAGGAAACTAACTGTGGTAAGAGCATGTGTGCTTACCTGGTGAGACAGAAGGTTTGGCAACTCAGCTTCTTCCTAAGTGGACCTATTTTCAGTGATTTATTTATTTTTTTAAGTCTCCAAACTAGATAAAAAATTTTATTTATCTCCTACGTAAGCTAAAAGTGTGCACCATTAAAGACTTGGGGTTATATCATTGAAGACTCATATGACTGACAGGCTTATATTGTGGCTTATATTATGGCAATTATCCTGTATTTTTTCATAATGAACAATGCAGCAACAAAGGCAAAATGCTTAGTGTTAAATAACATTCCCAGAGTGAAGAGTCTGTATACCATGATAAAATTTTCATGTGCCACATATAAATATTTATCAGGCAAGAATGCATGTTTCAATTAATCAGGAAAGTTGGTGCCACCTCTTTAGCATTTAATCAAGTAAAATGTTTGTGGCGTCTTCTTTCTAATGTTCAAAGAGCTATAAGACATTTTTCTAGTGTGCATTCCAGAAAATGAAGTCCAGATTAATAACTCTAAGATGAAATAAAAGTTGTATTTGTTTATAACTGTACAGAGAAATATGAGCGTGCACATTTCTGAAATGCCTTGCTGAGTGGCTTGAGCAATTGCCTTATCTGGTGACTTTTAAAAATAAGGATGGCCATTGGTCAGTGGTCTTCTTAGGCCACTTCAACTGAAGCAATGAAAAGAAATACTGAATTACTTGATATGAGACCAAGGAAAATCGAGGGGACCTCAGCAGGCCCCAAACAATGACGCTGTGACTTTAGTAGCAACTTTCATGAGAGTATAAAACTGAGGACAAATGAGAAGGAATTTGCTGGCTCTCCTGCCACAATTCCTAGAATTCACACATCCAAACAACCATTTGAGGACCTCAAGTATGTATGAAACACCTTGCAAAGTTGCCTGAAGAT